ATTTTTGTGTCCTGGTTAAGAAAAAAAAAAAAACAACACACCAAACAAACCCAAGCCATTCTACAGTCAATGCCTCAGGTTAGAACTAATGGAGAGATAGCCTCGCCCTCTACAACTACCTGACAGGAGCGAGGTGGGTGTTGGTCTCTTCTCCCTGGTAACAGGTGATAGGACAAGGGGAAATGGTCTGAAGTTGTGCCAGGGTAGGTTTAGGTTAGACATCAGGAAAAATTTCTTCGCAGAAGGGGTTGTCAGGCATTGGAACGGGCTGCCCAGGGAAGTGGTTGAGTCCCCATCCCTGGAGGTATTTAAAAGATGTGTAGATGAGGTGCTTAGGGACATGGTTTAGTGGTGGGATGGCAGTGTTAGATTAACGGTTGGACTTGATGATCTCAAAGGTCTTTTCCAACCTAAATGATTCTATGATTCTTTCTACAGACTACTTGCACAATCATGCGTTTGACTCTTAAGCTAGCTAGTTTACAATGAAAAGCCCTAACTGCCCTGGAGGTCTGCTGTATGGATATATTCATCACAAGGACACCCATATAGGATTTCTCTATGGGGGACAGTTCTTCTCTCAAAACCACACATAAACAACAAAACCGAACCCACCACTCATACCATCCACCACAGGCATTACTGGGACACTCATCAGTTTAGCCCACCAGACGTAGGAGTCACAAGCGGTGGTGTGTGTACTCCACAACCTTCTCACCTTTCCAGGGTAAGCCTATCAGAGTTCAGTATTTTCTCTTCAGCAGTACGTTGCAATGCAGGAAATGTTATTGATGAACTGCTCCCAAAATTTGTGTTATCTATCAGAAAATCATACAGAGAATATATGAACTATTTCTTTGTAACATCGTTTCATGAACTATAGACAATAAAAGCAGAATTTTCTTTCTTATTGAAAGTAAAGAGTTACATAATACATGAAAGTGCATTTTGCTTCCATTCAGTGCTTTGAGTTATCGGCTTGCTTTGCTGCCATTTTTGGTTTACAACTACATTTCACTATATCCTCTTCCTGAAGTACATCCATTTGTTTCATTTCTGAGAGATTTTTAACAATTTTTAGTAAGCAGATATTTTGTAGATGCTTTTCATTAGAATTACCCAATGATGTTTTACGGTAAGGTTGTATAATTGTTTCACAATTTCAGTATCTGAACTTAAAGAAAATATAATCTAATTTAAGATGAATTTAAAGACACAGGTCAAGTAGGTGTTGATAGAACTAGAAACTAAAGCCCCAAAACATTGAAACAGTCCTGCTCAGCCACAAACAAATGCAAAGTCTTTTAAAGGTAAATGCATGCAATACCTAGTGATCATTGGTATTATATTTTATTCCATTATCAAGAAAGACACAGGCAGCCCTTTAAAATGTATTTACAAAGCTGTCCATCTTTACCTATTTTGTTAATACCAGTGGGGAGAGGGAGGATGACTAAAAATACCTGCAAAATAAATCAACAAATATGTTCTGCAAGCTTTGACTAATTTGGAAAATGATCCACTGAAAAATATTGGCCAAAAATAGAACATAGAATCATTTAGGTTGGAAAAGATCATCGAGTCCAACCACAAAATTATCATGCACGCATAGTACCACAAGAATATAGGCTCAACTTCTATGTGTTTGCCCCCCCCCTTTTTTTTTCTTCAAATAAGTCAAATATGTTAACAGGAAAAACATTAATTCTTCAATAAACAAATATTAATTGCTTTACCACTATAGAAGAGTTCACTGTTGTCTAAAATATGCCATTAGAGGAGATACCTATATAAGTAAAACAGTTTGCTGTTCAGTTTAGAATCTTATCAGTGCTACTCTCTAACACTTTATCACTAGCTACTCTAACAAACCAGTAGAACAGCCCACATTCTCTATGTAACTTCAAAGTGAAAAAAACTGTGAAGAAAAAAAAAAATCATTGAGACCAAAAATAATCAGTTAACATTGTTGCAAGTCTTAAGTTCATTGCGTCTCAGGTTTTTAAGCCAATAAACATAAGACCAGACACTTAAAAATCAGTATGAAACACAACATGATGGCAGTACAAGTGACTCTTTTTTCCTTCTAATGTCATCCTCCTATAGACATGTGTGTGAAAGATCCCTATTACTGCCCTTTTGTTAAAGAAAGGTATATAAAAAGCCTACATTTAAATGGCCATACTGAATTTTTGAAAATATTTCTAGTGGTTCCTGACAATGATTTATTAATCTCTCTTAATACCCAAATGGAACAGCAGGCAACACTTGCTATTTGGTCACACATTCTGACAGCCAGAATCACATCTTAAAGGTCAGAACTTTTCAATAAAACACCCAGTTTAAAAAAGAAAAAAAAAAGAAAAAAAGAAAAAAAAAAGAAAAAAAGAAAAAAAAAAGAAAAAAAGAAAAAAAAAAAAAAAAAAGAAAAAAAAAGAAAAAAAAAGAAAAAAAAAGAAAAAAAAAGAAAAAAAAAGAAAAAAAAAGAAAAAAAAAGAAAAAAAAAGAAAAAAAAAGAAAAAAAAAGAAAAAAAAAGAAAAAAAAAGAAAAAAAAAGAAAAAAAAAGAAAAAAAAAGAAAAAAAAAGAAAAAAAAAGAAAAAAAAAGAAAAAAAAAGAAAAAAAAAGAAAAAAAAAGAAAAAAAAAGAAAAAAAAAGAAAAAAAAAGAAAAAAAAAGAAAAAAAAAGAAAAAAGAAAAAAAAAGAAAAAAAGAAAAAGACAACTAACAAGAGAAGTATTCATTGTTACCTGAAGCATGTGAACTAATACTATGGCTGCTTTGTCGGGATCTGGATTTTGTAGGTGTGTGAATAGAAGTCTCGCCAAATCCTGATAAAGAACCTGTATTTTGCTTCAACTCCAAACCAGAAAGTTCTGTGAGACTGGATGGTACTGGAAGATATATCTGCTTATTACGCACCAAAGGACTTAATACTCTTTGGTCTCCTGTGGGGGGAACAAAACCAAACTGCAGACTTAAATTTACTTCAGAATAAGTTCCGTAGTATCCCTAAAAATTAACCCATTCCGAACAGCCTGTTGGTCTTTATTGTCTACCAGATCTCCTATCCTAACCAATCACTGCTTTTACAAGACACAGTTCACCACAGTTACCAGTGGTATCACCAAATATCTTGCTTTCCAAAGCCAAAAGTACATAAGCACAATATGAAGACCATCTCCTCATAGCAGGGTTCTGAATTAGGAACTAATTTTGTCTAAATACATTAAAGTGTTAAACATCAAATAAAATGTTACAGCTGAGAATTGCATAGCTTCTGAGGGAATGCATATAGGGCATTTGATAGTCATGGCTTTGTAGGTAGAAGAAAGGATGCTCTTCTATGGACAGAATGAGGGACAAAAAGTGATCAAAAAAAGCCATCTGCACTAGGCAGTAGAAGAACAGCAGTTTCAGGACATGCTGCAGCAGTAATTGTACTGAATTCCTGTAGTCAATTAGGAAGAGCTGTCACTCTTCCACATTCAAATCATAATGCAGTCTTTCTTTACTGTTCCATTAATAAAAAGTTACAAAAGAGAAACAAACCAAACCCTACTGAATATCACCTTGCCTTCCTGAGTAGTTTTTTTCCAGATCATGCTGCAGAAGTCTATTGTGGAAAGATGACTGCTCTTTATTTATCCTGAATTCAAACTGTAACACAATATTTAAGACAAATGTTAAAGTTTTCAAATGCAAATAACATCTTTACACAGACAAACACAACCTTAGCAGCAACTACAGTTCTCAGGAGACTCTGCAAATGTTTCAAAAAAATGAAATAATTGCTCCAATAAAAAGAGTATTCATTCTACTAAGATACTATGACTGAAAAGTTGTTGGAAACCAAAATGAAAATATGGAAGTTACCAACACATTCATCTGCAGTTGACTAAATAAAAAAAACCTAACAACCCACCCTATAAGGAATATTGCAATTACAGGAGGAAGAGACGTACAGGTAGAAGCATAAGAAAGAATATATATATAAAAATCTATATTAAAATTTTATGGCAGGCTATAGTACATCTCTATGGTTTTACTTTATATATCTTTAATAGGATGAAATAAATTACCAAAATACTATCAGATACATCAGGTTATATATTATAAGTCATAGAATTGTTTAGGTTGGAAAAGACCTTTAAGATCATCAAATCCAACCATTAACCTAACACTGCCATCCCACCATGAAACCATGTCCCTAAGTCAACATATTCCTACTGAAAAGGCAATTCCGATCTGAAAGTATACAAATGTGGCTGTACCACACTAATTAATACAGCTATTAAAGAAAATATATTAATTACTGGTTTGCTTTTATCTGTTATTGATGAGGTCTGGATAACCAGCTGAAGACCACAATTATTAACCTGCAAGTTGGAAGAAAAAGAAATGGAACATTACATTTTTAAAAAATGCATATCAATACAAAAAGTTGAACGTAACCTTTTTTTTTTTAAACAATAAAGGTATTTTCAACAGCAAAATCTGCCAAGAAAGGAACTGTTTTGCAAAAATATTATAAAGAACACATCACAGCCCTACATAACACTGTTTAAAGAAGACCTAGTTTTTAGTTTTAAAAATACACATCATGGGGATGTTATCCTCATTATGAAGAAAAAAGCATTTACATTTAAATATAAGATTTTTTTTTTTAAAGGTAAGACATGCTGGTCTTTTAATTGAATTTAGATGACAAAACGTTACCACCCACCAGCTAAATAATCAAAACGTTTAACAGAAATAGTCAACCAAGCGGCTTATATACCCACTTCGTAGCAAATAACAGGAGGCATCCCAACAACGTAACGGGAGCTCCCTCACGGCTCAAAGACCGAGCTGCCCCCTCCCGCGCTTGCCTGGCTGCTGCTGCCCTCGGAGCGGGAAGCGACAGGGCGGCCCTCAGGGGACTCTGCCAGCTGCGACGCACCTACCCGCGCAAGGGCCGCACGCAGCCACCCTCCTCAGCCACACAGAACCGCGGCGGAGCGGCGCCCTCAGAGGAGACACCGCCCCGCCCCAGACCCGCCCTTCCGAGGAGCAGCGGG